TTAAAAGAATTTTATGCAGTGTTGCCATTGTGTAATTTATATTGTAATATTTCCTGATAAAGCCTAGCTTCAAATTTGCTACATCGCATGTTCCAGCATATTAAAATGAATTAGAGCTCAGTTTTTCAAACGTTTAAGTATTTAACTCGCCATGTTAGTTGTAGTTAAATCCTCACGGTGCTGAATTAAAATCACTTCCTGACCTTTGATTCTAACTGAATCCTGAGCCTTTTTGATTGTAATTCGGCGACAATATAATAAGTATTGTTCTACGGCCTTCTCCTGGCCCCGTCTTTGGCGGAGTCTACCTGCTTCCTGATTGCCCACCACATTGCTGCTGTGGCCTGGCACTCCAGGAGAGTAGCCCCGCCCCTGACGCGACGCAGCCAGGACAGTGCTACGTTCGATTGTGTTCATACCGTATGATCAGGAAAAAACGGCGTTAGCGATGGCTATGAAATGGAAATCGCTGTCATTTTATGTGTAAATTGTGACATTGCAATATTATGGTACCATGAAGCATATCAAGTGATACTGTAATATAGTACCATATTACGATACATGGCGTTCGATTGGGCTTAAACCTGGTATATTACGTATCTTCAGTGACATTGTAATATTATGGTACCATGAAGCATATCAAGAGGTACCATAATAGTACACAGAATTTGCTGAAGCATATGTGATAGAGGTACCATATACGATACCATTACTCGGTTGCGTTCGATTCTTCTTATACTTGGTATAGTAAGTATCTTCTTGACATTGTAAAATGATGGTACTAGGATGCATATAAAGCGGTACCTTCTATAGTACCATATTATGATACCACTTCCTGACGTTCATTTGGGCTCATATTTGATATATCCTCGAGTATACCGTTTTGATGACATTGCAATATTATTCTTCTTAATCTGGGACACCCTTACCTGGCCAGATCCTTTACTAGCCAGTCGATTGATTGCAAGTCTAGACCATGAAGCATATCAAGAGGTACCATAATAGTACTAATCGCTGATACATTTCCTGAGGCTTTTTCGATTAGTCTCTAACTTAAGTATAGTAAGTATTTTCGGTGACATTGTAATATGATGGTACTATGATGCATCTACTATGATGCATATATACTTATAGTAAGTGTTATCTTAATATAGTAACCATATTTTGATAATACTTCCTGATAATTCGATTGGGCTCATATTTCTTTAATACTTGCTGTATTTTTGATGACATTGCAATATTATGGTACCATGAAGCATATCAAGGGGTACCATAATGTAGTCTATTTACGATACCATTTCCTGGCGTTCGATTGGGCCCAAATTTGATTGAAATACTCTGTGTTTCTTTATAAGGATTTGTTTAATCAAGTATTTTAATTTATTTTATGAATTTTAATTTATTGTCGTGACTTTGCAAATATTATATGAACTAATATATTATTAATTGTACTGTCACTTTTTTAAAATCTACCTAGGTCAGCTTGACCTCTTATGTCTGACCTAGTAAAAAGTTAAACAACGGTAGACACCCAGAAAAAAATTGTTATTATAGTATTTTTTAGTCAATTAACATTTTTGTACTGCATTTTAATAAATCATTTCCATTATTATTAAACGTATATTTCATTACTAACGTTTCAGCATTAATAAATATCACTATCAAGCGCCCTGTATATTATTAATTTTAAAGGTAGTTAAAGTTATTTTCTTAGTTAATATAATAAAGTTGTGTATATTAAAAATGTATTTTGAGAGCATATTATGTTTTCTAATAATATACTTAAAATTAAAACTATTTTAAAAGCCAAACGAATAATTAAAATCTGACAAGAAACGAAGAATATAAAGGAATTATTATACACCAGAAAAAGAATGGGAGGCCAATTAAAGTCTGTTTGAATCTGGCAACTGTGCATTTGTAGCCGAGCTTCAAGGCCGTCGACGTGCCGTCGATCTACGTCGATCCAAAACCGAAAGTTGAAAATTTCCTGATTATATTCTGATTATGATATTGTCGCGCCATCTAGTATTTTATTTGTGCAATTTTAGCTCTTTCATTTCGAGTATTTTTCTGTTGCGTAGCTAGATATTCTGTGCTCTTATGTCTGACCTAGTAAAAACTTAAACAACGGTAGACACCAACATACGTCTCCTCACGTCTTGTGTTCCGTGTAATTAAACGAAAACGATGTCATACTAGGCTAGAGAAATAACATTTAATTTCGAGCCTGCCATTGAAGCGCTTGACAATGACAGTTCGCCCTGAATTATTTAATTTTGATTTAATAAAATTAGTCTAAATCAAGCAGAAAGTAAATTACAGATTCTTAAAATTAATAAATACTTAGGTATGATTAATAATAAATTATTTTTAAATGAAAGACGGGCACTTCAATTTTTTTCATGTGTGTACCTACTTGTAGATGTTTGTAATATGGTTAATATGAAAAGTTCTCTGACACAAATTGCTGTTTTTGGCTCTTAAGTCTTCGATAATCTTAAGTCAATTAAATACTTGAGATAAATGTAGAGCCCACTAAATAAATAATAATTAAAATTTGTAAAAACAGATATTTTAGATTTATTTTTAATTTTCTATTATCACAAGTTGCAAAAAGTTTTTTTTCTGAAAAGAATTTTTAAATCGAAGATAATTTAAATTAATTAATGTTTAATAAAATCATTAAAAATACATATTTTTTGAAATACTCTTGAGATAGGTACTTCCTAAAATTGATTTTAAGTTAATGTTTTTAATTAATTATTTGTTATCCGCTTAGTATCCATGAAATATACAATATCTAATGAATATTTTTTCTCGTGACATTTAAACTTTAAATACCACTGCAGTGATAGTTAGGTTATAAAGGCGCTTAGAAAATGTCAACAAAATAAACCATGACATTCATTGATTACTGTACTTTTATTCGGGATTCGATCTGCAATTTTAACCCAAACTGCGATTCAATCGCAGCGATTTTAAAATCGCAATCGCAACCTGCGATTGGCTCTCATTTCTTCATTCAACAATAGTGAGGTCTCGCCGACATCTACTTTACTCACAACCATATACCGGGTGCGTCTCAAAAGTGGCTCACCCCCAAGAACAGTTAACCTAATAGAACTGCTCATTCAGCCAAAAGTGTCCGCCAGGTGCATGCGAAAACTACTCGCTTTGTGACGTCATTGTAGCCCTTGTCATGGTTATTAGTCCTTATCCGGCAACCAATAATACACACACGTGCATTATTGGTTACCGAATGCAGAACGTTCATTATTTAGTTTATTTATTTAAACACCTTATATATGTGCAGTATAGAAAATTAACTGTATAAATCGTATTAAATACTCGGATAATGCATTTTTAAGAACAGCAGTTCCCAGCATCACCTTTTGCAAGCATTCTTTTTAGAGTACTTCCATATTTTGCTTTAAAATAATTAATAAACAAAATCGTGGGCACTTAGTATGCACTTTGTCACAATCCACAACACAAAATGAACGTATTTATACACTCTATAGCTCTAAAAACTTTAAAGACACCTTTTTCACATTTAAAATTGACAAAATAATTAACTCAAAATTTCTCAGCTGTTATTTTTATAAGTTTACCATAGGCAACTAATAATACACACTATCATGACAAGGCCACGAAGGCTTTGACAAGGGTTACAATGACGTCACAACTGTCAGCTGAAGCGCGGGAAGAGGCGAATGTACGTCTTATGAGGATGAACAATCCTATTAGTTTACCGTTCTTGGCATAAAGCAATGAACTACTACAAAACTACTCGGTACTCGATGCAGCCCTAACTGACATACTGATTAATCACGATCCTGCTCAAACCACTCAACGTAAGAAGCTCAATTTTGGCATACAGGTTGATTCTAGGGTGTAGAGGTTCGATAAGAAGGGATTTTTCGAAATCCCAGTTCCAAGAGGGTGAAACCACCCCTCAAATATTACATTATTTTTTATTTAAAAAACGGTCGTTTCCGAAAAAACGCTTAAACACGTTTATTTTATTTTGTTTTTTACATATTTTAATTTTTAAAAATGTATACAGGGTGTTTCGAAAAATCTGGTCATTGATTAATCACGATCCTGCTTAAAGCGCTTGACGTAAAAAGCGGATTTTTGGAAAACAGATTGACTTTAGGGCGTAGAGGTTCGATAAGAAGGGATTTTTCGAAGCTCCAATTCTAAGGGGGTGAAACTATCCCTCAAATATTAAAATATTTTTTATTTAAATACCGGTGACTTTTTCGGAAAAACTCTTAAACACTATATACCAAAATACTAAATCTCGTTGTTTTCCTATCTGAAAAAATAAAAAAGTTATAGGGGTGAGCCACTTTTGAGACGCACCCGATATTTAGTTTTATTTATACAGGGTGTCCGGAAATTAATGCAACAAAATTTGGTCATAGATTCTTGAAGTAGGTGAAAATAGATGACCCGTATTTTTTATTTTTGGCCAGTAGCCCCCCTTTTCGGACTTACAGCCACCTGAATTTCGCCCCTAAAAAAAGTTTTTTTTTAATATCTCAGAGCCCTGTTGAACGAAAATCACTAAATTTGGTACACGTTGTTTTACCATAAAATGACATTTTTTGATGCTATTAACTTTTTTTAATTTTCATCAGTGGCGTCCCTACGGTATTTAAACTAAATATTATTGAAGAAAAAAAATGGTACGCCACTGCTTTTTTTTTTCTAAAATAAAAATTATTTTTAAAATCTTCATTAAATTTGGAACAAATTTGATCTCTTGGCTTTTTTTTGGTATGACGCACCGTTTTCGCGTAAAAAAATAAAATTTGCATCTGAGTGTAATAAATTAAAAAACATGAAAACTAACCTCTTGTAGCTACGAAACAAAGCAGAATCGGATCTGTGTTGAAATTTTATTTTTACGTGAGGAAAAATAGCGCATGTTTTTTGAAACACCCTGTATACAAAGCTACTCATGAGTATCATTGTTCTCTTTTTTGCAGAACCACCCGTGGGCCGGTTCCAGAACCGGCGCAAGTCCGTGTTCGCCGAGACCTACGATCCGGAAGAGGACGAGGACGACGACGGCACCCGCACCATATTCCCCAAGTCGGACGAGCAGCGCCAGCGGCTCTCCGAGGCGGTGCGGAACATCCTGCTGTTCCGCGCCCTCGAAAAGGAACAGATGAACGACGTGCTGGACGCCATGTTCGAGCGGAAGGTGCAGAAGGACGAGCTGGTGATCAAGCAGGGCGACGACGGCGATAACTTCTACGTCATCCAAAAGTGAGCCGCCATTTTTACAGCTCGATTTGTAGAAAATAGTGATGAACGAGAGTGGCCTTGTAGATTGTTTGGGAGAGGAGAAGTTTATCACCGCGATCTTATTAATACAATATTGTGTTCTCCTTTCTTGAGGGCTTTGGCAAGAGCCAGTATGCGAGACGGTTTTACAGAGTGTAGTTCTCCATCTTCGATATCAGTCGTACCACAGTTTATGTACCAATGTTTGTCGTACTCAGTGATGAGGTGTTCTGGTGTTTCCCCATTTTCCCCGCAGAATCTGCATTCGCCGTTCTTTCTTAGCTTCAATCTTCTGATGTGTCAATTGGGGAGACAGTGTTCTCTTAAAAACTCCGTGACAACCCTAAGATTGTTCTTACTTAAATCAAGAAAATTCTTTGATTTTTCTCGGTCGTAAGCCCTGAGAAATTTCCTAGAGTGTCTTAGGCCCGTATTTATAGTCGAATCTCAAAACGCGACACCAGTTACGAGATGCAAAAGACCGACAAAAATAACAGGCTTACGTTTCATCGCCTGTATACACGCGCCTAGTAGCCTGTTATTTTTGTCTGTCTTTTCGAGACGCGGCTATAAATACGGACCTTAGATCGTTGGAGGAGTCCCATTCCAGGTTTCAGATGGAGTCTTCCAGGTTCTTGAGATCTGTTTTAAGTTGGTTTCCACTTGGAAAGCAGAACGATTCTGGTTCCATTAGTGGAGTGTTCACTCTTTTTCTAGCTATATCGTTTGCGTTTTCTATCCCTTGGTGGGCTGCCCAGAGTATTATAGGACTTTATTTTCTTTGCTTAATTTGTTTAGCTTTTCTAAGCATTCTTTGACCAACTTCGAATTGATGGTTACTGAGTTGATCGCTTTAATACTGCTTGACTATCAGATCAGATGGCTATTTCTTGTTTCCGATAGTTCCTAGCGTTCCTTCTGTAGCGTAGATTCATGTCTGTAGGATGCGCAAGCGTCTACGTACACCCCAACAATAAATGCCGCAAAGCTTTGCGCAAGCGTATTCTCGGTTTTGGGTCGGGTATTTTGCGTGCACTCTAAAAACGCAACCAAAACACGCCGGCGACGAATATGGGACCCACAAAACACATACACAAGAAGAAGTGCGAGCGCCTTGCTAAATATTGGAAAGTGAAATTGACGTTTAAATTTGACACTGTTGACAAGTTTACTGCTACTAGCGCCCTCAATTTCGCTTGTAGGAACTACGGACTAAATTGTCACGCATGGCGGGAAGTTTAAAAAGATAAAAAAATTTATTTCTTCATTTATTTTTAATTATGACATACACAAAACCATAAAAAATACACCATTTTTTAAAAATATGTTTAATATCAATATCAAATATACAACAGAAATTAATTTCACCACAATAAATTAATAAAATTAAAAGAATAATGTTACAAGTAGATCAACAGACAAAATTAATTATAACAAAACTGAAAAAAATGGCGTCATAGATGGCTTAGAAATAAAAGATATATCATAATTTTGAAAGTAAAATTATATGGGAAATGTCTACGATCATCATTTTTAAGCCAACTGGACGATTGTTTCAAACATACAAGCTGAGTTCGTTCATAGTGCTCTGAGAAATCTAGATAAACAAAGAATAATAAATTAAAAGTATTCCAGGGGAAAAGAGAGGAAAAACCTGTATCGTCTCTGATATCTGTCAGGGTATTGTTGAAAGTGTCATCTTTTTGCTACAAGTTTTCAGGTCGATCAAAAAGATGACATTTACAACAATACTTTGCTGTAACGTTCATAAATATCAGAGAGAGTACATACAGGTATTGAGTCTCTTTTCCTCTGGGATGCTTTATATTGTTGTTCTTTGTTTGTCTATATTTCTCAGAAGCATAATGCCGAACACGACTATCCGAAGTGGAAAGAAAAAAGATCACCTTTCTGTTTTGTACTATGGTCCCTTTCTTCCGATGGCTCATCTCGTTGATATTTAGAAAGGATAAATAGGAAGGAAAATATAAAATTCAATTTGATTTGATGATCCTTTACTGTCACCTAAAATCAGGAGAACGACAATGAGCATGTTAAGCTGAAAAAAAAAATTATCAACACTTACCTACACGTTAGTCCGAGGAGTTTTATTAAAAACCTATATTTTATATCAAACCAAACAGACGCGCCAGCATGCAAGATTCTTGCGGTCTTGCATTTGTTTTACGTCTTTTATTTACATTAGAAATATCTTAATAATTTTCAGTTTTTGAACCTGTAGCTGTCCTCTAGGTCTATATTTTTATTTGCATGTATGTTGCCTATATCTATTCTTTATCAGTAGATATGCCATCGCATATTAAATCTAAATTTATTCAACTTTTCCTGCCTTTTGTAAGTCTAATAATAACTCGCTGGTAAAAAACGACTCTGAATATTAAATAGCAGAGTGGATTGAATTTTAATGTTATTCAAACACTGGTGGCTTACCAGAGAGAACAATGAATTTTTATTTCAGTAGATATTACGTAATTGGCTATTATAACTTGTGTTTGGAAAAAAAGTGCTTTTTTATAGCACTGTTTTGTCTACAACTGAACTGAGTGACGTATCCACTTAATAGTTTCACTGCATTTTCTTACATTGTTACAAATAGCTTTCCGAAATATAGTTCTATCTTGAATTTTGCCCGATTGTGCAATAAACAATTATTTTTTTTCATAGCAACTATTAAAATTGCCTTATAGTTCAGTCATAGGGGATCAAAAAAGGGGCCTGCTTGGAAAAAAGTCCGGAAGTTTTGAAACTTTGCAGGTTTAGAGGTTTTGGGGTCCCTAACTAAAATCCATAAAATGCATATATCCAGACTTGCCGCCGGCGCCGCCATCTTGCCAAGATGGCGCCCGAAATCGGTATTTTGTAAATATCTCGAAAACTATGCGTTTTTCGTAAAAATTTGAAGAGAGAAAAATTAAAGAGAATAAAATTTACTATAAAAAAGGTTCTATGAAAATTTTCGCGGAAGTCAACCGTTTAGGCACAAAATCCCTGGAAATTTTACAATTTTGCGTAAAGTATGATATACATATTGTTACGTTTTTCGTCGGTTCCGTGTGGATAGAAAGTCACAATTTATTTAAACACTATTTATTTAACACTAATTAACAAAAACAATAACGATAAAAGACTTATAGAACTATTTACAAACGATTTATAACTAAGAATTTATTTTGAATTTTAGCGCGTCAACTGCACTGGTAATGCATGATATATACTGGTGGCGTCAAAACTAGATGTTGGGTTTTTCTCGATTATTTCAAAGAGAACTCCACATTTTATGACATAAACGTAGTTTTTTCCAACTTTGTTTTGAAAATAATTTTTAAATCAAATAATCGATATTTATACAGTAATGTCCTCTTTTGGAATAGAAATTATTTTCAGCTGCAGCGATAAAATAAATAATATTTACTGATACGCTAAGTAAAAAAATAATTAGGAAATTATTTTAGACATCTAATTCTTAATTTTTGTCGCTGATAAATATGTAGATACATCACTTTTAACGACAAACCTACTAATAAAAATTGCGAAAAACAAATCATGTTTATTCTCAAAGAGACAATTATTGAGAACAATCCAATAACTATTAATCTGGGATATAGATCTTAACAAAACAAAAGTTGGATAAAAGATTTGTTGATTTATGATATAAAATACAGTGTTCCATTTGAAATAGCAAAGAAAAATATAATATATAGTTTTGACTCATCCTGTATATAATACAAAAAAAATAATATAAAGAAAATTTAATCATATAAATAATTTAGGAATTTAGCATATTTTTATATAATTATATGAAGAGAACATTACCTTAAATTAGTTCCAGTAAAAAACTTCCATATTACTTATTTTTAACTTAGAAAGGGCTTTAAATATATATTTTATTATATAAACAAAAAAATTTAATCCAAAAATGGTCAAAATGAACTCTATACGATTACGACATTATAGTATTTTCTGGAATGACAATTTTTTGACAAATTCACCAAGAAAAAATAAAAAATATAGCTTTTCTTTTGACAAACTATACAACTCTAAAGTAAATATGTATTTAAATCTACGAATCATCCTGTATATCTATAAAAATACCTCCCTGTCAAATTTACGCTACTTTTGCATGCAAGCATACCTATTTTACAAAAATATGATTTGAGTGAAAATATAAAATAGGAAATCTGATATGAAGCTTTATCTAAACACAGGGTTGAGTGTAGATAAACAATATTTTACGTTATTAATTAAGAAAAATTATAAAATACACAATATATCTGACAGTTCCAAAAAAGCAAAGTAAGAAATGAAACATAATTTATAGCATAAAATCAGTATTTTTTAAATTTTTAAGTCAACTGGCCATTATCGTTTAATCTATCTATCAATCTATCAAATTTAATGTTTATTATTAAACTTATCTCAACTCTCTATGAGGTAAAACTCTAAGATAAAAACTCTAAAAACCAAGAGTGATTTAAAACAAATTTATATGAATTTAGAAATAAATATGAACAGTATTTACTCACCTGTAATACAGATGCTTTTTGTTTAATTAAATATATTTCAAAATATTATCCAGCAGGTACAAAATACACATTACACATCACGTAAACACAACACATAAAACTCATAAAATAATAGTTTGTAATCCAAATATTCAAAAATACTGTTTCGTTTCTTCGTGGGGGACGAAAAAATTGATTTTTTTAATTATTTAGATATGCATTAAGGTATATTTCAACTCAACAGCTTATAAATAATTATTTTTTAAGACATAACCTAAACGAAACGAAATCAGAAGTCGAGAAAGATAAACAAAACTGCCGAATTTAGAAACGAATATGACTTTTTTTCCTTTTTTCTTGTCACAGTTGAAACAAACAAGGAAAGCTATTTTCGTAAAACATGCGTGAAACGTGCTAATAAGTAGCCCAATAGATGTGACCTCGCGCCCTTCCATTTTTGAACGATGGGCGGGTTTAACGGATTCCCCTCAAAGAAAATCGTAGGGGAATACAAAATGCAGAACGGACAAGGCGCCATCTAGAAGACAGGATTTTACTAAACCCTCATTGTATATCTATTTATACATAATCAAGGCTAAAACTATGAAAACTTGTTGTATTTGGTACTCTTGTAACTAGATTCCATTTTTCATCTAATTTAATTTTAGCTGCTTCAATTTAATCGGAATTTATTAGGATTATATTAATTTTCAATTCTATTAATTTATAATTTTTAATTTTCAATTTTTTAATTCTCGGCATGTTTTTTAAGATACGCTTGCCTTAAATTATTGTCCGCATTAATTTTGTCTCGATACTTTTTAACGTGACTCCTAACTCGTGTCTGCCTCTCATGATTCTTAATTTTTGCCACCCTTAAATAAAAAGAACCTATGACTGTTATTTTGTATTGATGTTTTCAACAATTATTTAAATAAAAAGACGATATTAAGTAATAAGTAATAAAACTGGCGATAAGTATTGTAATGTTAGTAAAATTATGTTTTTTCACATTTTTAGTAAAATAATAAACGTATTTCTTTAAAAAAGCATGTTTACCGCAAAATGTTATGCTGTAACTTTTAACAGATTACTCATGGGACAGATTAAACAAATTTAAAAAAATAATATTTCCAAGAATCTTAAAAAACTAAGTTATATTGACAATACATGTTAGCCAATATACTATAAGTTTGATTCCCTTTATACGGGGGGTTTCTATAGAAATAACGACAAACATTTAAAAACTTTTCTTTTTTGATTACTCACGGGACAAAAAGTTGAGCTATATTTGTAATTAAATTAAAGTAATTTTTATTTATACTTGGCAAAAAAATACACCAGTACACAAACGCTTGACAACAACAGTAAATGACGCGCACCAGGCCCAGAGCTAGCGTCCTTTTGTTTTTCCATGGCAACTTTTCATATAAAATGCAATTATTAAAGATTTTTTGCAAACTAATTCTAATAATGTATCCCTAATTTTTTTCGCGAAATCTGGCTAACTTAGATAATATAAGATATTTTTTTAAGAAATTTGATTCTTTTTGAGGCGTATGCTGAGAGTTTTTTCATTAATTTAATCACTTAAAATATATAAGAAAATTAACGTCGTACATGGAATTGGCCAGATTCTGTGGGGAAAATGGGGAAAAACCAGAACACCTCATCGCTGAGTACGACAAACATTGGTACATAAACTTTGGTACGACTGATATCGGAGATGGAGAACTAACCTCTGTAAAACTGTTTCAGATACTGGCTTTTGTCAAAACCCTGAGATTCTATGATGAGTTACTGCTCAAGAAACCGGAACAATAGATCTTTAAGATTGCGGTGATCCCCCTCCTATAAATTCTACATTCTATAGTATGTAACACCGTGTGTAGCATTAAAAATAAGGAGGTGGTAAATAATTGTTTTCTTTTTGTTCTTTTTCAGTGGCATATTCCACGCTCTGGTCGCCAGCGATCCGAGCCAGGAGCCCGTCCACATTCACACGTACGATAACCGCGGCAGTTTCGGTGAGTTGGCCCTCCTGTACAATATGCCCAGGGCTGCCACCATCAAAGCCGCGACGGAAGGCTCGCTGTGGGCCATGGACAGACAAACCTTCAGGTAAAATCAGAAATATACACTGTCCCCGGATTGTTTTTACAAGAGGAAAAAAATTTTTTTATTGACATTTTAAGAAAAATGCTTTCTTTATAAAAATGTTTGCTTGTTCTACAAAAATGGTTAATCCCGTTTAAACTTCTCCAAATTTCCATACCGTTTTAGACATAGAATAACTAACTGAAAGAAATGAAAACTCCTATGTTAAAGCCTGGAAACACGCGCTCGACGCGATCCAAGCGGGCTACTGGCAGAACTAAAAATTCGCGCCATATTTTTAAACGGACCTTTACTGCCAGTTCAAGTTTTTTACTTATATTTGGTAATTTCAATCTAGATTATGAACTTATTTGTAACAAAACATTTTACAAAATAAAAATAATGTATTTTGATACAAATAAATTAATAATCTAGGTTGAAATTATCCCTGAAATTAGAATAAAACACGAAAAATTTGTAACTTGATTATTTTATTATAACATTGTTAATAAAATTACATATAACACATTCAACACTATACAAGTATATATAAAAGTTATCAGAATTTATACAATCAGTTATAAGTAATTATAAAAAAGGTTATAAATTATAAATAAATAATTCATTATATAAAAGACATATAGTTACCGTGAATATAATTTGGTATAACTTTAATCTCAACTTTAATGACCTATTCAAATAGAAACATCTTACAATTCACATTATATAATACACAAAGCCAAGGGACAAAATTGTTATTAAATCTATTCTCGATGACTCGAAGCATTTTTTTTTCAAATAAAACAGGACATATAGGGCTTATAAATAATACAAGGGTATAGAAAATATATAAATAAGTAAATACAAATATATTTTCAACCTAATGATTAATGATTATACTCGTTTAAATAAATAAATGATCTTTTTAAAATTACTTGTTTGTCTTTGCAAATTTGTATATTTAATATTTATCTAAAAGCGTACACTTACATAAATTACTGCACAACCTTTAAAATTAAGCTTTTAATATGTTATACAAATTCTTGATTCGATATAAATACACTTAAATAAAACTTTAAAATTAATGATCTTCCAAATTTCTGAGACAGCCATTTTGTTGAAAGAATTTGTTTTGATTATGAGAAATTTCATAAAAATTATCACAGGGATTAATTAATCTTATATATTAAACTACTTGGCTTTTAAATTTCACAATCCTATCGTCCAAAATACTCTAAATTCGCAAAAATCCGTAAAATATTCCCATAAAAACAAATCACAATTCACTTCCACTTCACAGAAACTGACAGACATTGCCAAATATGGAATGACGTTTATTTTCAATTTATTTTACTGATCTAACTGATCCGGGTCACTTAGAAATTAAATTTTTATTAAATTATTTAATTATAATTGTTTCTGGCGAAAGCAACTTCATATCAATGTTTATTCATAGGGTAACAAAGCACATCGCTGTTAAATTATCAACATTTTATATAAATATTTATATTTTTCAACTACTCCAATTACTCCACAGAGAATCAAACGAATTGTTAATTAAACTATACTCTGTGGATGACTTGATAAAATCATGATGAAATTAAAGTCCCTAGATGAATATCTAGGGACTTTGGATGAAATTTCTACGCAGCGCCATCTATCCCTCTACTGGCAGAAACTCCGCCGTGTTTCCAAAATTCAAATGGCAGTTTCATCCGCCTGGTTTTAGAGGAAATTAGAGGAAGTTTGGTAAAATACTGGAAACGTCAAATGTTGACGTTTTCTAAATTTCGATACCTCTATTATAAAATTTAACTTTAATAATGGCGCTTACTGCCGATTAGCCTTATGAAAGTTGTAATTTATTTTCATATTGATTAAAAATTATTTTTAAATGGTGTAGTTTAAAATTTGAGAAAAAATATTTTTTTGGAGTGTCTGGAAAAGGCTTTTTTAACCTTTCTATAATTAGTGATAATTTTCATTTGCTATCAATTAATTTTATTGAAGAAATTATTGAAATAAAAAAGAAATAAAAACGGAAATAAATAGAAGAAATATTTAATTTATCGCACACAAATGTGTTTAAGTAAATAGATTTATTTTTAGATAATATGTGTAAAATAACATCCATCATTAAATAATGTCCATATTTTTTTATATTTTTTTAAGGAACATCCATCATTATTATCAAAAAAATAAATGTATTTATATAAAAAGAAAGTAAAAATAAAATTGGCACTGTTAGTAAAATATGTGAATTTAAAAATGATTTTTTGTTAAAAATACCGCGTATTTCCCAGTTATCTCGCTATTTAAAACAGTTTGCAAAAGTAAATAAAAAGTTTGATAAAGCAGTAGCAAGATTCAATATTTGTATTTTTTACCTTTAAAGAGTGACGTTTTAAGTATAGTCCCATTCACAAAAGAGAGGCTATTACATCGTCACTGATTAACGAAGATTTATCACTAAGACGGAGAAACTAAATAAAACAATGATGCATTCGGTCCTTTTAAATATCTTATTTCGAATCGCTACAAGAAGCTGTGCCGGAGATTAAGTATTATTTCAATTCGGAATACATTTTTTACAAAAGGCAACAATGCATTCGAGAAAAAGAACGAAGTCTGACAACGCCATAAAGCACCACCACCTCCACACAGTTCAACCTTTTCCAATATGGCTGAGATAGAAGTGCTTTATTTGGCGCGTATTTTAAACTCTGTTTTATTTCCAAATAGACATTTTTCACACAAATGCCGGGTTAGATTACGTAATATTTCACTAATTTTTTAATATACAGGGAGTCTAAAGTTCTCCACTAAAGTATGGAATTTTTTGTATTATTACTTTTATGAAAACATCAGTTAAGTACTTTTTATAAAAAGGTCTGCTTTCTCAGAAAATAGGTATTGTTAAAATATTCAAACTTGAGGTAGCATATATAGGGTGTTCAAAATCATCGGAAAAAGAAATAACCAGAAATATATGACAAAAAATAGCAATATAAACTAAACTATAATAGGTGAGGATAACTAAAAAATATAATATGTGTTTCAAGATTTTATATAGAAAAAAAATACTAGAAAATAAAATACCTTTTTGGGGGTTCGTAAGTAAAACTTACGCTTAGCTTAGTTTTCTTTACTCTTTCTCTTTACGTAGGCATTGTCTTTGTGGTAAAGACGTCATTCCTTTGTTTGCATAGTTCTTCAATAAAATATTGGATATTCTGAACAAGATGGATTTAATAATAAATTATGACTTATGTGAGGGGCAATTGTGACCTAAAAAAAGACTTACATCCAGACCATTTATATTTTCAAATGTCAATGTTGTCAATATATTTCTGTGATCTTTTTGATGTAAAAAGCTTGATTCTCCTTCAATATTTTACTTATAATGAGGTAAGTGTAAGCAGTAGCCATAACTACATCCTCACTAGGGTAACAGAGGCTTTGGCCTTTGGCCTTTTTGAGGCATATTTAATACACTTCTTACCCGAGAACTACTAGTAGGAGTGAAATTATTTCTTTGAATAGTTGTCAACCATTTTTTACGAAGCTCGTCATTTTTGGGGAATATAAAAGCAGAAACCTTGGGACTCCCTCTATAATTCCCGTGACAATTTGGAACAGAGCATGTAAAAGGCATGCTACAATAAAAAGTTAACCCTTTAATACCTATCTTTTGATTATTGTAAGTAACAATTATAAAGCACTATGCAGACTGGCGGTGAAGCCTTTTTACGCATTTAGGTGTAATATCTTGATAAATACTTCTAGTTCTTACCTTAAAATAATTAATAATACAGGAGTACGACAAGCACAAAAGTTTGAAATTACCTATGTGGAATGTCTGGTTTGGATTTTTAATACACTCTTATTTTATCACAATTTTCTGATCACACCATGCACTGAACACTAAGAACTAAACAAACGTGTTGTAGACGCACAACAAACTAGAGATAATTAATTATTTCTGGTATGCAATCGGAACGGTTAAAGGTAAACAATTTAATAATGCGCTGCCTTCGCCGCCATATTTGCCTTGCCTATATCATGTTGATTGGCCTTGAGTCGAGGTGGTGCTGAATAAAGGTGCAAGGTCACGGCGGCGTTTATCAGCAAGATGAAATAAGTGCCACATCTGTAAGTTAATCTGTGTGACGTCTAGGGCTTGACCTCGCCAAAATTATCATCGCTTGTCATTGCTCAGCTGTCTTTGACGCCGTTTTTTTCTTCGTATTTATGGTATTCTTTGAAATACTATGATACAGATCACTAACTGCGAGGTTCTGAATGAAGCTTAAGAATAAATAAGTTAATATCTGAGGTTGAAATAATTATTTAATAAGAAAAATACAGAGATACACCATTATACCACCATTATACCGTAGTATAAGGAAACTAGTAGTTTTACTCCTTGTCAAATCCTTTGTTCTTTTTCTGCCACTTTATATGACCTTGTTCTCGCGTCCCGTGACCACTGACGTAGCTATATAGACGTGGTCTATAACTAGGCAAAGTATAGTCGTGGCACTCGCCATAGTTTCACAGTGATGTATTTAGGAAAATATGAGTTCACAATAAAATAAAATAAAAAAAAATGATCATCGAGTAAAAATTTGCTTGAAAACAGAATATTTTTATATTTCGTGTAAGTAACAATTCTTCTGTATCTGAAAATCTTCTGATGGGAAGAAATGCGGAAAAAATATATAATGACATATTTTTATATTATTATCTGTTTCGAAGATTTTCTACAACTTTTTTTTAATTTAAAACAAGTTTAATTTTAACATTAATTTGTTTGTTTTGTAGTAATATATTGGTTAGGTGATTTTCATTGGATAACTAATACATTGAATAACACATTGTACTAAATAATAAAATAACATATATTTGAACTTCAATAATTACTAATAAACATTACAGAAATTTCAAAAGAGAAAAGAAGCAAGAACAATGAGAAATAGCATCACTACTTTTTCACGTAATAAAAGAATAATTTTTTAGTTATTGTTACCGAGTCCCAAAGGTACCGAAAGAACCGGAAATTAATAATTTGGAGTCCCGGTTCTTTGATATCTCAAAAGAACCGGGAATTTCCGGTTCTGAACCCTAGTTGCCATATTATCAAGAAATTATGTTTTTAACTAAAAACTAAAGAAATTTCCGGATTTTTTTTCAAAAAAAAAATGCGTAGAAAAATCCTCATATTTCTAGGGCCAAATTTATACTACCCCTAAAAATATTGTACTTAAGACTTTTAAGACTCACCCTGTATAGAGCGATTCACGGTTATGGTACGTTAGAGCGTTTCCGCAACCGGAGCTAGTTTCCGGAACCGGTAATTTCGGTACCATGTCTCTAAGGAACCGGGATTTCCAGTTTTTTTTTGTTCAATGATGGTGCAGTTCGTTAAACAGCAAGCAAGGGATAGTTGTCAAAAGTAATTTGAGGTTTAAATGAAAATAGTATCAAATTATTAAGTAGTAATCAGTCATGAGAAAATTAACCTGAACACAAACATGATCACAAATGACTCTCAAAAAAACCTGAAAGCACATTTTTTTGAATTATTACTACAACCAATAGCAGCACACAATAAGGCACTCATTTTTTGTCAATCCGTCTCTGTGCTGGGACGCGACGCTCGAACCTCGCAGGTCGACGGACGGAACTCAACTGAAACGCTCTGCAATCTGCCGATATTCGACAGATTGTAAGAACTGGCAGAAAATATTTGGGAGAGTGCAACTACTCTTTTCCTTCTACTATGATTATACTAATTATTCTTTTTGACTCATTTTTCTTAAATTCACTATAAGCTCACTGTAATTCAGGTCCTGACACAATATCTTACCAGATTTACACAGTTTGCATAAAGTCAGTTATAACATGAACAATAAATCGTTTTTTTTCTCGCTGATTAAATTAATTCTAGGCTTACTATTGTAGAATGACTTTTTTAATATGATTATAGGCGTATACTGCTGAAGTCTGCGTTTAAAAAGAGAAAGATGTACGAAACACTAATAGAGAGTGTTCCGATGCTCAAGACTCTGCAACCCTACGAAAGGATGAATCTCGCCGATGCTCTGGTTCCGCGTGCCGTTTCCAATGGAGAAAGAATCATCAAACAGGTATTTTTCTATTTTTTTATTTTCTTTTATTGGTTATGAGCTTTCTAGAGCTAATATAATATACTACACCGGATGTTTCTCAAAAACAGCTCACCCCTATAACTTTTTTATTTTTTTTTTTCAGACAAAAAAAAAGAGATTTTGTATGTTAGTATATGGCATAAATTGGGATTCATTGACGTTTCGGTCACTTCTTGTTTCACCGGAAATGATTACAACGTTTGATTTTCAAATGACACCATCGTCATTTTTTCACTTCATTTGATAGAAAATTATATTCTGAATGACATATCATATGTCAACTTTTAACATTTTCAATTAAAAAAATGGCATTTTAAATTTCTATAAAAAAATTAATGTAACTACAATATGACTCGAAATATCAAGTGCGTGGTACCAAATTATTCATAAAAAAAATTCTTTTTTCAAATATCCTAATGAGCCATCCTTTGAAAAACGTTCCATTTGAAAAAAAATGAGATATGATTAAAAATACGATTTTGGCATCTTTTAACCAGCCAGGACAAGACACGAAAAACATTAGACGATCAAACATATTTTTCCAAAGCTCCTGGATTAAAAATTAGTGTTTATAACACAGCCATGGCACTCTAGATTGAAATTTAAAATACGATTTTTTTTATAAGTGAAAGTATCAAAAGTTGACATATGATATGTCATTCTACTCAGAGTGTAAATTAAAAAAAATAGAGAGTGCCATTTAAAAATCAAAAGTTGTAGTAATTTCTGGTGAAACAGGAAGTGACCAAAAACAAGTGATTACGTCAATCAATCCTCATTTATGTCACGTACTAACATACCAAATCTGTTTTTTTACCTGAAAAAATAAAAAAGTTATAGGGGTGGGTCACTTTTGAGACGCACCCGGTATAGTAAGAATATAACCAAAACAAAAGAAAAATCTAATTATTTTGTTTTCTAACAAGTGTTGCCTAATAATTATAAATAAAAGGCAGTTTATTAAGATAGCACGATGGAAAGCAAAATTTTCTGGTTAAATTAAAATAAATAATAATACTCTTTTAATCTAAGTTGATTTATGTTTAAAAGTTAAATTTTGCGTTTGTTTGCCTTATTTTCGGAAAGCTATACAAGACAAAAAATAATATACAGGGTGTCCCATTTAAAAAAAACATAAGTTTGAGCCGTAAAAAGTAGCACAGTGGTGTAAAAATCGCATTTTTGTATCTCAACTCATAAACGAGAAACTCCATAAAACACATGAAAATGCGTATTTGTGAAAATGGGACACCCTGTACATTATTGATTAAGATAGTAATAAAATATACGTTGCTTAGGAACTACTAAAATCATCTATTCACCCCTTTGAATAAGAAGACTGAGGAAGGAGCATATCAAAAATCTTAGGTCCACCGCGATGGGACTCAAATATGGCCGACTTAAATTCCGGTTTATCAGTGCCGTTCTAATTTTATTTAAAAAATGTAAAACTATGATGTAGAGTAGACGTGGGGTAGACTCAATAATTTTTTTTTTATTTTACGTTGCGAATAAATGTTGGTAGTTATTAAAATTGTTATAAAAATATAAAATTCTAATAAAAATAGATAAGTTATAATAATTATTTATAACCATAAACATCCGATACGCCACTGAAGCAGGTAAGTCAAATTGACGTATCTAAATTCTTTGACATCTAATCTTTGGCAAGTAGTAAATAAAAGCAAAAATGCAAGAAAAAATATATAATTAGTTAATTTAAGTGAATTTCATAAATAATCGGTTTACTACACGTATGTATATTATATAGTCACTTACTAGCGAAAAGTTGTTCCATTATTTCACTCTTTTCGATAAATCGCGATAGTGTCACTGTTAATTTAAGTTCTGCCACAATTTCCATCTAGATTTACTACCTTTATACAACTATCAGTAGTAGAATAAATAATAAATAACATAAAATAAGCTCCGTAACGACCGACAAATCCACAAAATTTCAAATCAAATTCAAATGTGTCAAATGAATCGTCAAACAGAACTGTCAAGGATCCCCACCCTAGAGTCCTTTTTCCGCCCACCATGCATGAATACATGGATAGCATTATGCTCCTTCCTTAGTCTTCTTATTCATAGATTCGCCCAAACAGATTACAGTTTGTCTATTTATATTGTTTGTCCGTGGGTTAAGTCTTCGAACATTGACTTATGAATTTAATTAGGTAGATATATGTTGCTTGAAAAAGAATCGAATTGGAGACATATTTAGGTTAGATCAATGCGAGCTTTTACGCCTACGGTATTATTTATTTCTGTCCTCCGCAAACGAAATCAATTAAAGAAGAAATAGTGGATCGATTCCAAGTTTAGCTCAATTAAGTAACTTCGTTATCTGTCTGTATGGGACAAATTGTGCCGATGAAAGCAGTAGCGGTGCTTCAATAAGTGCCTCAACTCCCAAATTTAATGCCTCTTCTTGAGAAAAAAAAAACGAAATTTGTCGTCTTTTTTTCATTATTTCTATTATATTTATTCGAAAAACGATTTTTCATTGACTTGAAATGAATACATAAAAACTTTTTATGCGATTTTTTTACCTGGCCTTATTGCCAGGGTTTGGATAAACTTACATGTTACTCTTAAAAACTACATAAACTACATTATGGGTAGTTTGGTAATCAACGTAGATGGTCCAGATGGTGCAGTTTATGTAACTTTCAAATATGAAAGACAAAGAATATACCTAGCTAGAAAAAGAATGGACTTTGCCATATTGAAAAATGGTCCTACAAAAGTGGCGCCATCTATTGAGTAGGGCTTGTTTTAAATGGATCGAAGCGCGGGCTTTTTGAGCGTATTTATTGAATTTTACTCTAAAATAATTAAATTTGATTATTAAATCTTATTTTTTACATAAATTCAACAATACTAATAACAAGTATTGTTGTGATGTGTAAAAAATAAGATTTAACAGTATAATTTATACAATTATTAAATAACATTAAAGCCAAACATGTGAAATATAATTTATTATTTAAAGTTTTTATTTATAAGTCAAATATTTAAACATCGTTTATTATAATAAAACAAGACCAACGTAATACGCCCAAAGTTTTGTAAATGGAGTAAATATAAGTAGGTACTTAAATGATGGCAAAAATAAAAGACTTACATTATATTTTTAGGGCCACAAACAAAAGGAATTGTCTAATTAAAACACATATAACAAATTATAGTTTGAAAAACATTTTGATAATCATTTATTTGATAATATTATGATTGGCGCTATGACAACGACAATATTTTTTGAGAATTTGACAATAATATGACAATGGCCGTTGGAAACTATGGAAACTACAAAAAAATTCTGATTTAACGCCATCTGGCAATAACTAGTAGCAACTTCTTAACCTAAAAATGAATTGCACTACCACCTAGTGGCTAGGGCTGGAACTATTTTATTTGAGATTTCCGTGGAAACGGTGGAACTGCTTTTGCTATTTCACTTTCCCGCCCCTGATGAAAGATATGAGGCAGGTTTGAGGTTATAAGAAGTTGAAGCTTTAGAAAATAGGGCTTTAAATACCGGGTGCATCTCAAAAGTGGCTCACCCCTATAACTCTTTTATTTTTTCAGATAAAAAAAACAGATTTGGTAAGTATATGACATAAATTAGGATTGATTTATGTATTCAATTGTTTTCGGCCACTTCCTGTTTCGCCGGAAATGACTACAACTTTTGATTTTTTATTGGCACGCTCGGTATACGAGTATTTCTACTTTATTCGATAGAAAATGACACTCTAATAGAATAACATATCATATGTCAACTTTAGACATTTTCTCATATGGTTTATTTGAAATTGTAACATGCGGTTCATAACGACAATTGGACTCGAAATACTAAATGTGTCTGTATTTCAGGAAAATATTTTAACTTCTACAGGGTGGCTCAAAAAAGTGTGAATGGATCGGGATGATTTTTTTTAAATGGAACACCCTATATTTTATTGCATTTTTTGCTTCCGTTCAGATAACTTTACATAATCCTAAGATATGAGTATATATTTCAATAATTTCAGAGATATTATTAAATAAATAAAAAATACAGGGTGGCGCACCTCATTCGCCTCGGTTGATTATACGAAAAGGGAAAGATATAGAAACAAAATATTTTATGGGTATATGTGAGGAGTCAATGTGCACAATTTAAAATTATTTTGAAATATACAGGGTGTCTCAGAAGTAAGATCCATACCAAAGTTATATTTTTTCTTAATGAACACCCGGTATTTTATTTCATTTTTGGATTCTTGGGCCCAAAAAAAGACATTTATTATAAGGGTTAAATATGTTTAAAATCATTGGTTTTTGAGATATTTAAAGATATTTAAATATGCATGCTACAAGAGAATTGATTATTAAGACCCTGTACATTACTTTTCAGAATTAATTCTTGTGCTGAGTTTAAAGGCAAAGAAATAAACTTTACTGAAAAATGTTATTGCTTCCTTAAACTTATACAGGGGTACCAAAAGAATAAAAAATAAAAACATAAATTGCCATGGCGATACCAGCCATCTTGATTGCCATTTTATTTAAAAATCGCGTTTTATTCAAAATCTGAGATAGATAGGTATAGGAAACCCTAATATAGTTTGAAAGAGCATTTGAATCTGCTTCGATTTATTTAAAAAAATACAGGGTGTTGCATTTGAAATAACAAAGTTTTTATGTAAAATAAATCCTTAAAGTAGATCACTAATTTTTGGTACCCCTGTATAAATTAAAGGCAACAATAACATTTTTCAGTAAAGTTTATTTCTTTACCTTTAAACTCAGCACAAGAATTAATTCTGAAAGGTAATGTACAGGGTGTTGATAATCAATTTTCTTGTAGCATGCATATTTAAATATCTTTCAATATCTCAAAAACCAATGATTTTAATAAATTAAACACCCTGTATAATGTTCTTAAAAATATACATTTTTTGTATTTAAAGTATTTCAAAATTTTTAGT